TTCATTTTACCTAGAGACAGGGTCTCACTGAGTGGCTCCGTCTCCCTTTGTACTGAGGCTGGCCTTGAACTCGCGACCCTCCTGCCTCGGCCTCCTGGGCCAGCTCCACCGCGCCTGGCCTTCCCTCTCACTTACTTTTTGTAGTGGACACCATGACTTTATTCTGTTTATTTCATGTGGTGCTGAGGAAGGACCCAGGCCCTGCACGTCGAGGCGAGGGCTCGGCCTCTGAGCCCAGCCCCAGCCCCATTTCTTCTCTGAACCCGTGGTTCCCACTGATTCTTTCAAGTCTTCCAAACACCAGCCGCAGACTCTCCAGGTCAGAGTGCCGAGCAGAAGCCCCACGTCCCAAGTGCACGGTGCCCGGGAGACAGGGACCCCCGGGGGGACCCGTGGGCGCTGACACCGGGGGAGGGAGAGTCTACGGGAGGTGGAAGGGAGTCCTGGGGCGTCACGGGTTTGCTGGTGCAGATTCGGCTGTGCCAGCGAGGCGGCCCTGTTCTGCACGTCAGAGTTTTTGAAAAAGCCAACACGCCCGCGCCAGGTCCACTCAGGAAAGCAAGCCCCGGGCAGCTGTGAGGGCAAAAAAAACGGTCTCCCACCCCTGGCAGAGCAGCTGCCTAGAATGACATCCCTGCGCCCGGGTGTGTTCTGCCTGACGCTGGTGCCTGGCAGCCAGGGGGCAGCTGGAGGGGACAGTGCTGGCCTTTGTGTGGCTGTTTTTCCAGCCGGGCAGGGCCCAGGCCGCTGTGTTAGAAGAGCCATTCAAACATGTCTCAGGAGAGACGGAGCGGAGGGAGGGAGGGCGGGCGCCTGGGCGCTGGGCAAGCCCAGGGGGAGGGGGAGAATCCTGGAGGAGCCTCCTGCTCCAGGACTGCATCATCTCCAGCTGCGCTGGCTGGTGCAGTGGCAGCCAAGGTGTGGACGTGTGCCCGAGACACGGCCAGTGCATCTGAGTTTGCGAGATTTAAGTTTAAAAACCGGGCTGGGGATGTGGCTCAAGCGGTAGCGCGCTCGCCTGGCATGCGTGCGGCCCGGGTTCAATCCTCAGCACCACATACCAACAAAGATGTTGTGTCCGCCAA